TCTCCCTTTCTTTGAGCCAGACACAGGAGAGGGAAAACTACCAGAGGAGGAGAGAATTTTTATAACCTTCCAGAAGAGAGGCTGAGAAATTACTTTCTAACAATGCATATCAACTTTAAGACTACCAAGGGAGAAGACTCATTAAAGCTGGGAATAGGTTTTGGCTCAACATCAGATAGTTGTAAGACTATTACAGATAAATTTCAGCTGGCAATTAAAAGATAGCTCCTAAGCAATGAGAAGCAAGGGGGCTGCAAGTCTGCCAATGAAAAAAAGCAACACCACTTGCCACAGGTACACAGGCAGACACAGAAAACCTCCCCAGAACCTCACCCACTGTTTTTAAGATAAACCCTGGTGCTTTCCCAGAAGGTCTTGGTGAACGGATTTCCTATAATTAAGGAACCAGATGCAAGAAAGCCCTTCCAACTCTGTCATACAAGTCTGGTAATTGCATATCACATAGGAATTATTGGCATTGACAGAGTTACTGAAGCAATTAATTAATTTACTAGCATCAAGAAATAGTAATCTAGTTTTGTACTGCTGGACGACTGGGAGAGGAGAGGGAAAAGCAAGAAAAAGCTTCAAACTGCTTCCCAGAGGATACAGACTCTAGGAGTCCTCTGGTCACATACCTGTGGCACCATCTCAGGTGGTGCCTCGGGAGACAAGGCTCAGAGTATCAGGAGGGCAGCACCAGAAGAATATTATGGTAATTGTGCCTGCCATTCCTTAAAAAAAAGTGGGTGAAGGAGGAGGAAAACCTTGATTGGCTTGAAATTTGAGTTGCAGTGAGCTGTGTGATCATACAGGAGACATCAATATATGGCAGCCCCACACTGCTGTTTTCTCCATACTGACCAGCCAACATCCACCTCTGGGAAACTATTAGTGGGAATAGGCTTCAGCACCTCCCCTGCTCCTGTCAGCACTGTGGATAGACTTGAGAAATGATAAACATGATAAACACAAGCCAGCACTTCAGCTAGCAAAGACAGAAATAAAGCTAGTAGTGCCCACTTAGGAGAGAAGGGAGTGCAAATAAATTCAAAGGACAGAAGGAGAAATTCTGTGAGCACTGGTAGCTTCAGGAGGAGATTCCTGAGAAGCCCTGTACCTCTGTGTTTACAAAAGTAACTGCTGTAGCCAGCCTACAATCTCCAGCTGTAAACCCCTCAGCATCCTCCAGGTCCTAGATATCACAGCCGTGTGTACAGTGGGAGACCCTGGGTTTGGATTGTTATATTCTCAAAGAATTTTTGATGTTGTCAAATGTAACTGTCTGTAAGGTGCTATTAGACACTATGAGAAATACTGGAACTGCACCACACACCACTCAGACTGACTCCCCCATTTCCTTTACCTCAGTTGCCAAAGGCACAGACATCCAGGAACAGCTAAAGCCAGAACCTCTAAAGAATTTTTTTTCTGCACAGCTACAAGCCTCTAAATGAGTTTCAGGGTGGTTTAAAAAAAAAAAAAAAAAGCATGTTTCTGCTTCCATCTTCTTTACACCTGTCTTTGGAAGATTTAATTTTTTTTTTACTTTTGATTTCTATTACTTTTTATTTTATTTATATTTCCATGTATGATGCAGTGCCTTAATGTGTATTTTCTCAACTCATAAATCTAATTGATATCTATGGGAGCGAGTCAGTCTGGAGACAAGCATGGGAATACCAAACCTCACATTTGACTCCTACTTGGAATTCAGTATTGACATGACTTTTGGAAGCATAGCAAGACATTTCTGCACTACTGAGATGAGGGTTTTACAAAGATTTTTTTACAACCAGCAATTATTTGTTACCCAGAGAAAAATTAAGATAAAAAAGCAGTAACCCACTGAGATGGCAAACAGTTTAAGTTTCCTAAGAGTTCTGAGTATTTGTTGACAATGTAGTTCCTGGGCATTTGGACTCTCCCAACCTCACAGTAGTCTGTAGTCCCAGTGTGTGCAGCAGTCAGTAGTGGTGAGGAGTTGGTACAAGGGAACACCATAGCCACACTCACAGGCTGTTTGAGGTGAGCCATGTCACACCAGCCTTCCTCCACATTTGGAAATGTCACCTACATCAGTGCCTCCACCAGCAGCCTCAGGACCGCACCAGCCAGCAGCTGAAGGAGCACAGCACAGCTACCCTGAGCCCAGGGGCGAGAAAAGTTCCTCCTGAGGAGTCACACAAAGCTTATTTTCAGGTGTGAGTACATAGATATTGAAATGGTCCGTCTGCTTTAAAGATTGCACTCAATGAGAGGTTTTGGTTCCTTTAACTTGAAAGCAGAAAAATCCAGCTAGGTAAGATTCATCTGAAACTAGCATTAAGCAAGGCTGAGCTCTTCCACTTGACAGCCCAAAGGCTTTAGCTGAAGGGAGCTCAGTTCAGAAAACCATAGCTCATTCCTGTAAGCCTCAATTATTTTTGTCCACATGGACATGGAATCACTTCTGCAGTACAAGGTCTGCAAGACCTTTAGAAACCCCTGAGCCTTGTGCTGGGCAGCAAATGTTGGCAGTCCTCCACACAAGCCTCTGTGGGGGAAAGAGACCCGCAGTGGGCTGCCTGGGCAGGGGTAGGTTCCAGCCCTAGGCCTAGCACCTCTCAGCTGCTTTATGGGTCCCCTTCACTGCACAGGCTGCCCAGAGAAATGCTGGATTCACCATCCCTGGAAGTATTGAAAAGACATGTGATACTTAGAGACATGGCAGAGTGGTGGACTTGGCTGTGCTGGGTTAAGGGTTGGACTCACTGATCTTAAAGGTCATTTCCAAACGAAATGATTCTATGGCAGATTGATCGTCCTCTTGCCCTGACATGTCTAGTTTGAGGGCACAGCTCTGGGGCAAGGGATGAAGTTGGCTCCCCCCAAGTCAGCTCCCAGAAGTGGCATGTGCTTGCTCAGCTGCACACAGAGCCATGGCAGTGCTGAGCAGCTGTAACAGACTCCTGAGGAAGCTGAAAGGACCAGGCAGCAGCTTGGCATTTATGGCTGGGGGCAGGGACTCAGAAACACATTCAAAAACCTGGTTATTGAGGTCTACACAGCAGGTGCCAGGCTTGCATCCAGCCCCAGCTAGAAACTGGTCACTGTGGGAAAAGAGCTTTCACCTGGCACCGAATGGAACACAGCAACCACCTCTGAATACCAGTCAGTCAAGGATTTACCAAAACAAGGGAGAAACGGATGGGGGTGGAGAAAGCAGTGGATGAGAACTGTTTGAACTTTCGCCCACAGACAGAAGGTGACATGCAGCAGGAATCATTTGTGAAACCACTCAGTGGAAGGTCAGCATACTGTAGGTTCAATATGGTTGATGTGCATTTTTTTCACCTTTCCCACCACTCCCACAAACTGAAAATCAAGCATGAAGTTTTTCTTAAGAATCTTTACTTTTTTTTTTCTTAACTTAAATTATACGTCCAAAATACAAGTATAAAACCTTACAATGAAATATGCTGCTAATTTCTACAAAACAGTCTAAATAATAATGCACTTACATCATTTACACAATTTACCTTCACAATAAAATAGGAGCACTTAGATCACTATTTACATATTGACAGAGGATGTGGCTGTGCAGCCATCCACTTTTGGTGCTGTCTCCTGCTGGAGTACCTCTGGGCAACTTGCAGGAAACAAGCCCTGCCAAAACTCCTCTAGGTGCAGGAACTGCCCAAAGGGCACCAAACAGACCAAAATGGTGGCAAATATTTGCTTTTTCATTTTAAAGCTGCCACTGCAGCACATAAGCACACATCAGTGAGTTATTTAAGGAATTCCCTGATACAGAATTTTGCTTTGCTATATTAGGCACTTCATTATACAACTTATTTATTATGGCTTATGCAAAATAACTCGCTTTCTTCAGAATATGTATTTGCCAGATTCAGTGGGAGAAAGACACAACTAAGGGCACAGTTTCAGCCAATGTTTTGGGTTAAGTCTGCATCATTAATTTGGATCACATTACTTCATACCAGTAATGAAGCAAATATTTTATCAAGACCTGTTCCTTTCAGCAAGTCAAGCAGCCAGTGTGTTTTAAATTTTAGTACATCTGCACTTCTGTGCAAAAACCTTGGCAACTACAGATCTCCCTCTTCCAGTAAGTTGACTACTTACATTCATGCTGCTCCATGTTCCATGGGTTGACATATCCCACATGATTGTCTTAAGAGTACATTGTAGGTTGAGGGATTATTTACATATCTTAACATGTAGAAGATAAAATTGTAACTTACCAAATAATAAATACAGATCAGAGTACAACATGGAAATAAAATAAATTAGAATGATTCCCCAAAGTGTTGAATTCCTTCTCTTAAGGCCTGAGCCAAAGAGCCAAAAAAATCCTCCAAGTGATGTATTCTGAATGGTTCAAAAAGGTTTTGGATAGGGCTTCTAATTAGACACTGTTTGAAAATGAAATGTTTAGCTAAGCCGGTGGATATTTGAAACCTGTATGATCGAAAAGCAAAACTTTCCTCTAAAAGAAATCTTTTGGGTAAAACTTTTTAGACCAAACATTAATACTGTTTTTATTGGGAAGAACATAGTTCTTAAAGATTGTCTCGACATTAATTCAGCAGCAAGAAAATAAGCATACAGTTAAGAACACAACGTATTTGTGAAGCAAATACGTGTTAGTGCACATGATTTTCCAAAAACTTCACTCCGCAGCTACATTTGTGCATATTTCAGAATGCTTCTAACTAGACGGTTAATAAAAATCTTCATGACTATAGCTAAGTTTGCCATTTAACAACACTAACTGAAAAACAGTTAGGAGTAACTTACTCAAGAATTATACCAAATTTCAGGTCCAAATATATCAGAACACCGAAAAATTTGGAATCCAAGTAAAAATCTTAAAACTTAGGTCTATCAAATTTTAAAAAAAGAAAAAAATATTAAAAGCAGTGAATCTGCTCTCAGAATTGCACACTCACCAGGTATGTAAACTCTACAAGTCAGTGATGCACCATTCACTGTAAGAGGTATAATGTGGATGCTCTATGCAGAGCAGTACAGATGCTTTTTGGTTGCCGTTTCATTCACGTCTCCTCTCTCTCCTCCTTGAGGATCAAGCATCTAAAGTAATTTGGCAGCTAAACGTGTCTCAGAGGAAGAGGCTTGGGTTTACATGGAAGGGGAAGTGACAGGTGTCCAGGTGGCTGCCAGCCTGGCATGTGCAGAGGTGTCGTACTGGCCGTCGGGCAGGTCCGCGGGCGCCGCGCCGTCGTACAGGGGCGAGGCAGAGGAGGCTGCTGGCACGGCATGGGACAGAGCCGAGTAGTGTCCTGGAGAGCCACGCAGGAACTGGGGGCTCAGCCCGTTGGACACCCCGCTCGGCTGGGACGCCGGCGTGATGCTGCTGTTGCTCACAGACCACAGGTTGGGGTACTGACTGGAAGAGGGAAAGCCATAGGTAAAGCCAGTCAATAGTGACTCTAGTGCCTGCTGGCAGCTCCTCAGCTCACAACACAGCCCTCAGGCCAGGTCTGTTTGCTGCAAACACTGAAACTCTCTAGGCAGTTCCCAGCCACTGTGAGGCAGGAAGGACCCCCAGGCAGAATTTGTGCTCATGGCAATCCACAAATAAACTGAACTTCCCTATTTTCCAACAGATAGGGGGTTAGACAAAAGGGGTGGCAGAAATGCCTTCAGTGAGGCTTCACAGTTCCAGTTCTACTGGTTTTACCTACTGAACAACTCGGTACAGAAATTGAAACTCCAGGAACTTTGCAACTTCCTAAATATTCATCCTGGGAATCAGACAGAGAAAGAAGTGCTAGAAGGACCTTTTTACTCAATTAATCTGTGTTCAGGACTAAAAAATATGTTCAGCAATACAGTTAACTCATACATAGCCTGATTAACAGTTAAGAGTCCACATGCATGGTTCAAATGCAAAAATGCTTTCCACAAACAGAATGGTAGGTCTGAATTGCTGAAAGAGATGTACAAATCTTGTCCCTCTGTAGCTCATAACAAATATTTTACCACCTTTTCTGCAGCTCTTTGAATTTTCAAGTTTAGCCCAAAGGGACTCAATGCAAGCTGAATTTTTCTAAAGGGTTCAAAATTTTAATTAAGATAGTAAGTACAAAGAGGAGAAAGGATTCTTTTTCTATGATCACAAAATATCAAAGACTTTCACCACATGTACAGTCCCCTGCTATGCTTGTTAGCATGGCAATGCTTAAGTCAAGAATTATACCCCAACCATGCGCTCCTCCTTCACGCTACACCTCACTGCTCCATCATTTGTAGCAGAATAACAGCTTCTGGAGATGGCTGGGAAAGATATGACCAGCAAAAATGGAAGGGATAAAGAAAATAAACTTTTTAAACACCATTATGTATAACAAAGATTAAACTTAAGAGACCATCCTCAAATTCAGTCTATGTTTGTCTAAGTAATTTGCAATCCTTAAGTTATCAAATATTGCTGTCACAGGTATCTACATTTCCAGAACTAAAACATTAAAAAAAAAAAAAAATCTGTTTCTTCAATCCGTTTTCCTTGTGGATAGTCCTTCTCAGTGCCCCACAGACTGCTAATGGTTCATACCAGTGGCCAAAACGACTTCTACTATGCTGGAGACTCTTTACCTCCTTTTTCAGCCTTTTCTTCCTACAAAGTAGCAATACAGGGTTTTGAGGGATGGACACCTACCTGGAGCTGGTAGCTGTTCCAGTGCTGTGACCCATGGGCAGCATGGCTGTGTGCGTAGTAACTCCCAGAGAAGACCAGTTGTCATGGGACTGCAGCATGGATAGGCAGGCAGAGGAGTTGTCAGCATAGGCTGCGGAGAAAACACAATCACTTACAAACACTAGAATCAGGCCAAATAGCAATCTTGTGTTTAAATGTAATGGAGAGGTTTAAACTACTACCTTGGAAAAAAATAAAGACAAAATTACACACAGAGAAAAAAACAAAGCCAGTAATCAGTAGTGTCAAACCCATGCCTTTATTGGCATTGCCCTGATGTCTTGTTTTGCTCCACTCATAACAGCAAAATCTTATTTATGTGAAGGGCCTGTGGCCAAAAGGCTGTCTGCAAGCCAGCTGCTAATTCAGCACATGCCATTTTATATAGTCAGTGGGAAAAAGGAGGGTTCTTTATTTACACTGTCCCCTGGAGACCTTCCATCTCCATCACTTACACTGCCAGCTACAGTTTGGCAAAGCTGGATAACAAGCCTATCACTGGATCACACATCCCAGTTTTGAGCTGAGCATGCCACCTTGAAATCTGCTTTAGGCACCATCAGGAGTGACTGGACTGTGGCTTAGACCACTTAGCTTGTGACCCAAACTGGCTGGCTCACACAGCAGGGGCACTGGGAAGCTATAAAGGGAATCCCTTTCAGCCACCCATGGTCAGAAAGAAACTGCTGTGGTAGCTAGCTAAGGGAAGGCCAGGGAACAAGAAAGAACACCAGAGAGGTTGTGTTCTTTTATCCTTTTTTAAATTTTGCACAAAATTTCCAAGATGCAAGAAAAGTTCACAGAGAGCTAGTTACCCACTTTTAAATTAATGACAAAGCTACATACAAGATTGGTCAGGTTGCATCTAAAAGTCCATGTATTACTTCATAATTCAAAATAATAACTATTTTTAAATGGGAACTTTCAATAACTACACAGCCTGAAAGCTAAAATTGTTCACCATTCTTCTTTGCCAGAAGAAATTTTTAAAAACCAATGAAACAAACAAAAAACCCCACTGTTAAAAATGCCTGTTTCACCCTTAAGTACCTGGTGCCCGAGATACAAGTCTTAAGATATTTGGCTACTTTTGAGCACATCTTTTTTAAAAGCTATGCAGTTTACTCAGAGATAGAAACTTATTGTTTCTATCTACCCATTAGTGGGACGTTCATAGACGGACACTAACTACAGCCACAGTTAGCATAAGCTAACAGAATCAGACCCTCAGTTCTAAAGCCACTGGGAACACGCAGTTCCTTTTCCCAGAGCTGCAGCCTTGGGCTTACTCGGCGAGTTGTTCCTGTGTGTGTAGGGGCTGGCGTAGGGCACGGGCCGGTGGCTCCTCAGCGAGGAGTACCTCTCACAGCTGTGGGCAGGGGACAGCGACAGCGGCGCTCCGAACTGCGCGTGAGCGTTGGCAGGGGGGCACAGAGCCCCGCTCCCAGGAATGAGCCAGCTACCTACTGTGGGGGAACAACAGGTCTGTAAGAGGTGTGCAGCGCAGCCAGGCAGAGAATCACAGCAATCAGACAACTGAACAGCCAGGAAATGCACACTCAGGAAAGGAAACGGAGTTTCAAATCCGTATCTTTACAACTTTGATAAATGCTCTTATGAAGGAAAATTAGAAAGCAGCTTAGAAAGAGTCTTGTGTCAAGCCAACTTATTTTTTAAATTACCATTTAACCACAATCACAGTCATGAAACATGGAAATCATTAAAGCCTCCCATATGTAGGTAGTGTGTGCTCGGTAATTGTCAGCATAGCATTCAATTTTATATTGCTCTTTGGGGGGTCTCAATCTATAGCTAAGCTCTGAAGTTTCTCAGACTGCAAAGAACTCCTCTTAAAAATTAAGTATTTTCTCTGAAACAAAATAATTCCTGCTGGAAATCAACCACCCTATCCTTTTTAGGCTGCATTTTATTGTTAAACATCTGTTAAAACAGAAATGCTTTCCAAACATCTGAAAAAACTTCTTCAAGCAAATGCCCATAATTTTCTTCGAGTACTTAGAACATGACTACTGTGTCAATAAATTTCATGAAATAAACTTTTGTCTCCATGTCCATGTGAACATTGCTGTCCTTGTATAAAAAGGCAGATTTCTTTTTAGACATAAAGGCAACTCTGCATAATTCTATTAAATGGTTTTGAATGCAATAAATCCTAACCACATGCAGAGATTATAGTGTTTATACAATCATCAACATGCATGAACCACAACCACAGAGACTGGTAACATTCCTCTTTCTATGAGCTAACAAGCCAGCCATCAAGAACTGGCCTCGAAGTTTTGCTTAGCTTCATAGAGAGCAGAAGAAACCAAAGTCATGCTCACGATGCACAACGAAAGGAAACATACACTGTGAATACCCAGACTGTTGGCTGTCCCCCACTTCCTCCATCATGTCTTTATGATCACTCCTATAAAAGAAACCGTGTTGTATTAGTCAAGAATTTGCCTTTATAAATCTAATCTTAAAAATCACATTTTAGAATTAAATTAAGAGCTCTCACCTTTCTTTTGCATCAAGAAATGCCTTTGCAAACGGATTGTATTTAATTTTTAAGGCTGTGATCTAAAAACAACAACAAATATCTTTATTTACATGCAATCATTCATCATCACACTGATATTAGGATTTGAACTAGGACTATCTACTGAAGTTGGTAAAATCAGATTTTTGAAGAAATAAAAGTAGGCCCATAAAAGCAACTGATGGGCACTAATGAAACAGCTCCTTAAGGTCTAAAGTATTATCAAAGCACTAGGAGTTAGTCTCTCTGCCAAATTTTGAATAGCCTGTGTTCATTGGTCATCTAAGGAAACACCTAAGAAAGGTAGTAAACTAAATAGCTATAAAAATCTTCACATTTCAAGCCAGAGCAGACTGGACATCAAAGAAATCTCAAAAAACCTGATAATTACAACTTCATTCAACACACACATTCATTTGGGCTAACAGAAAAAGGGCCGCTCCAAAAATGGTGCCTTCAGTCTTTTCACTGTGTAGCTCAAATGACAATTTTTTTTTTATCATAGTTGTTTGCCCCCACAGGGTCTATAACAAATCTGTAGTACATAGACAGACAAACAATGATCACAACTCTGTTCTATAATTCATTAAGGCTTTTGCATACATTAATTTAATCTTTTATATTCAGCTTCAAAAGAAAAGCACAGGAAGAACTGAGAAATGCAAAAGGAGATCCATTATTTTGCTCTGTAACATGCACACTTTGCTACTTGAAACCTCTCGGTAGTGGCATCCTCTCTTCCCCGCTGTGCATACCTCCTCATTCTGGTAGGCTGTCACAGCTATAAACTGGGTTTCTGGGAAGGAATGGCTGGTGATCATCCGCTGCGGGCCACCCACTCGCACGATGTGAATCCGTGGCTCATACTTGTGCAGGGAGTTTAGCATGATCTGTGAACAAATAGAGCAGGTGAGCAGATGCTGCCAGGCACAAAGGACACTCGGGTTTTAAAGTCTCCATCTTTCCATCAGAGGTGGAAAAAGCACTAAGTGCGAATAAAGCCTAAAGCTGAAGCTGTGAGAGAAGGAAAGGCACACTGAGGACAGACACAACTTTCTGCACAGTTATTCTCATCCCTGTTACTTGACAAAGCACTCGCAGAGTCCCAAATGCATCAATGATAAGTCAGCCTTAGAAAGATTCATCTACCACACAGCAGACACTAGCAGATATTCAGACCGGAAAGAGAGTTCCAAAATAGTGATAAAACATCAAGGCGCTCCTCCTCGGTGGAGCGAACAGCTCTCCTGAATGAATGAATGAATGAACCGGGGGGGCAGGGAGACGCACGACTCATCCCAGCAGGTTTGGTAGGGAAAGTACGAAAACGAGCAGTAAGGAGGGAGAGAGTGCGCCGGGCCGGTGCGGTCCCGCTGACGGACAGCCCCGGTGCCGGTGTTTACCTGCCCGCCGCCGTTCAGCTTGTTGGTGAGTTTGACTTTGCTGAAGGAGACGGGCGCCTTCATCCAGTGGGCGCCGAAGTTGGGCGAGTCGGGGTGGATGTAGACGCAGCTGGGCGCCTGCGGCTCCGGCTTCCCGCCCGGCACCCACTCCCCGTTCACGTACTTCCAGCGGTGCCCGTCGGCCGCCACGAAGTCCAGCAGGAAGGAGTACATGGCGTTGGGGTCCAGCCCCGACACGCTCACCTTCAGCACCGGGAACATCCTCCTGCGGGGCGACACGGAGGCGCGAGGCACGGCCGCGACCCGGCCCCGGGCTCACCCCGGCCGCCGGAGCCCTCCGCCCCCCGGAACCGGGGCTGGCGGGGCCGCTCCCTACCTGCCGTTCTTGGTGACGATCATCTCGTTGGTGAGCTCCTTGAAGCGCAGCCACAGCTCGCTGTCCTCCAGCGCCACGCGCAGCTCCCGCTCCGTGGGGTCCCCCTTCTCGCTGCCCGCCTGCAGCTCGCTCTCCACGGCGCTCAGCAGGTGGTCCACGCGGTACTGCGGGGGCTTGCCCGCGCCCTCCGCGCCGGGGGAGCTCATCCCGGCCCGCGCCCGCCCGCGGGGCAGCTGGCTGGCACGGCCACACCGAGCCGGGCACGGCCGCACCGACACCGAGCCGGGCCCCGCCGCCGCCCCGCGCCCTGCGCGGCCGGGCCGCTGTTATAGCCCGCCATAAACGCCCCCCCGGTGACATCACCGCGCCGGCGGGGGGGCCCCGCTGATTGGCGGGCGGCGCCTTTGATGGCGCGGGCGGCGCTGCCCATTGGCCGCCCGCGGCCATATCAGAACGGTGCCCGCGGGAGCCTGTGATGTTAATTGCGGCCCGCGGGATTAAACGCGGCTATTTTATGTAAATCTGCCCCCAAATGTTTGCACCTCTATCAAAGCCGCCGGGGCCGGGGCTCCGGCTGCCGCGGAGGAAATGGCCCATCTCGGCAACAGCCTCACAACCGGCCAGCGCGGCACCCTCTCGCCTCCCGGCGCAGCGAGCAGACCCCCGGGCCGCTTCTAGGCGGGCGGTCCTGGACGGGACACTCCCGCCGCAGATTCATATTTAGGGGGAAAAAACGGGAAGTCCTCTTCTCCAGGCGGCCGCAGGCTGACAGCGGCACCCCGCCCCGCACGCCGCTTCCCCGGCGCCTGCCCCTGCCCCCTTGACCGGAACTTCTGCTGCAGGGAAGGGTGCAGCTGGCAGCGCCAAACCTTGCGGGAAAAACCAGCGAGAGAGCTGGAAACGCGCTGTGCAGCGGCTCAACCCAAACCTGGCACGGCACGGGCACGCCCCGCTTTTAGCGAGCCCGTGAGAAAAGTGGCAGAGTTTGTCTCACAGCAGCAGCGCAGGCGGTGCCTTCGCAGCCGAGGTGCTCGACCGCGATGGTTTCGAGCCATCCCACCTAAACAATTTTTTAAAATTCTGAAAATCAGATCGATAGCCACCCACCATCCCACCTAAATAAAAACATACTTCTGATCGATAGTTAAAGGCTTTGTTTCCTGTAGGAAGGAGAAACGCCCGCGAGTTCCTGCGGGCAAAAGGGGAGAAACTCATGGGTGAAACTTTGCGACGGGTTGAATTTATTTTTAATTTATTTGACACAAAAACAAGGGTCGGGACGAGGGAAAAGAGGGGTGCTCTGAAGCACTCCCGCCGGCCGGTGTTGTAATCGTTTGCATTCTCCGGACCTGCGACGGTCTGTGGTGTGAGGGAAGTTTATTACCTTTCCGTGAGAATCCCTGGATAGAGGGCGAGGGGGAGAGAGGTGACAATGAGCAGGAAATAGTTCAATGGGGTTTCTTTAAACAATAACAAGTTCTTTAAACGGGAGCAATGGAGAGGGAAAAAGAAGCGGAGCGGTGTAAAAATCAGAGTTGTTTTTAAAACAGGCATCTCCGCTTCTCCAAACACCGCTCACCAGCACTGCCGGGAGTTTTCAAATTTTAGGGGAAGGTGCCCGGGAGAAAGCTGCCTGGCAGCAGACGGAGCTGGAAGTCAGGGCTGCCCGGGGAAGGCACGCTGAAGGTCCTTTCTGCGGGATGCAGAGGGTGATTCAGTCCTTTTTGGTTTTGTAGCTGCGGCGTAAGGCTGTATTTTCATTACACAGCACCATCGGGCTCATACATCGTCCACTTCTCAGCTCCGCAGAACTTTTTTTCCCTTCAGTCTGACAAGCCGAATTCCCTGCCACCTCTCTTCAACCACTGTGTAGAAACAGGAGAAAAAAATATTATCCCTTCAGATTAATTCTTGCTTTAAAGTTTCTTAAAGTTCTTTCTGCCTGAGCACCTACTGCCTGCTTTTTGTCCTCTTCGGAAGGGGAAAACAGCATTTGCAAATAAATTACGGGCAAAGTTTGCTAAGTTGATAGGTGGTCACTGCTAGCCATAGGTGGAGATGATCTTTTCGCTATCAGGTGTTTATTTCACTGAAGGTGCTCCGGTCTAAACGAGCAACCACGACCTAACAAAAAACACGAACGTTCAAGCCCCGCATGAGCACGGCACGCTGGCCCTCGGGTGGGCTGGCAGCCCATCTTCGGGTTTGTGCTTTGAAGGCGACATTTCAAACATCTCAATCCTGAAAAAGCCGAGCTGCCAGGAGAGGCTAACCCCGAAGAAGGAGTCGCACAGACAGCTCCCCGCTCCGTGCAGGTGACGGGGCGAGAAGGGACTTTTCACCCCTTGCAGAAGTCGCGTCACTTTTAGGGTACGGTCCGCAGGGAAGGGGGGGAGGGGAAAGGGGACAAGAGCAGTGGAGGTGGAGGGGGCGGTGATGGTGGGTCCTGTCTTGCCCCAGCTTTCCTCAGCTCAACGCCACCTGACAATGAACGTGTTTAAGAGCCGAAAGCAGCAGGAACAGCCGGAATTGAAAGCGACGGAGCGGTTTTGGTGGACTATGAACTGTCCTGAAAATGTATAAATCAAATAATTAAAGGCAATCTAAAATTGTATTTCTGTGATCTGAGCTTTTAAAACTCTGAGCTTTTTAAAACATTCTTCCAGATGGATGCTTCGGGGAAGGACCAATCCCTCTGTATATACATGCACTCAAGGAGTGAGAAGCCCTTCAGCAGCAGACACCTATATGGCTAATATTTTTTGCATTTATCGCTCTCTTTAGGCAGAGAGAGTTGAAGTTCAACTTGATTTGATATATTTCACATTTTACTTAATACTTAGCAAATGAGTGAGCTGCTCATCCCAGACAAATAATGTATGCTCTCCTATGTAGCTGGTCTTAAAAAAAAAAAAAAAATCTTTCCAGTTTTAAATTTTGAAATGACCATTTAAAAAAAAGTTTCCAGGAGTTATGTATAATCTTTGGAATGTCATAAAAACATAAAAATAAAAACAACCTAATAAGCACTCCAAAAGAACCAACAGACCAAAACCATGAAATTTTTCCTCAGCTTGGATTCCTGTCGTCTTTATTTTATTTCCTCCTCCCTCTTTCTGATCTTAATTGCACTTTGGTTCTCAGGAGAGAGGACTCCCCACTTCTTTTCAGCGGGAGCTGCAGTGCATGACAGTTTACAGCCAAAAAACTTCCTCCAGCCGAACAGCTATAAAGATTCCCGATTTATAGCAATACTTTCCCTCTTGCAGGGAAAGATTAGTAGCCTCCAGCTGTTACTTCGTGTTCGGAAGGCTTGTCCGTCATTCTCTGCCTTTTTCCCCGGGACACCGCAAATCCCCAGACACCTTCCCAGCGGGAACTAGCGCGTCCCTGCGGTCCCAGGGAACCGGCTGCCCCCTCTGCAGCTTTAACCGCCTAAGGATGCCGTGCGAAATGTCAGTGTGTTTAAGTATTGGAGGTAGTTGTTTAAATCTCTTTCAACTTGCAGTTCTGGGGGAACACGCGCGATTAACGCCACATTTGGTGCCAGATCCATGTCCCTGGTGTCCCCTCCCCGCCACTTCCCGTGCCCACCCCGGGCAGCAGCGCCGGGCTGGGCCAGCACCCATTGAGCCCGGGGATGAAACTCACCTTCCAAAGGTCAAACCTTTCCACTTATAATTCGCTGAGGAAACCAGCAAACTGCTTTACCACCGCCGGGGGTTTTCCCCCTTTTTCCCCTTAAGAAAAATGAACGCATTTATCATTATAATGTGTAACTGAGATGTACTTTTCTACTTGTCAGCTGCTGTTTCCTGGACACTGGGGAGGAATGTCCTACTGATATTGAGACATTGATGTGCATGTAAATGCCATTTTCCTAGGAAGGTTCTGGATCTTGTTTAATCTGGCATATAATTTTCCTTATATATAAGATTTACACAAAACTAAAGATTGTGTTGGAAGAGATTTTTATAAGAACTCATTGCTTTGTAACCCCAGCTTGCTAACATGTACTTACATAGGACATGATAGCATGTTGAAAACATAGCATATAACATTATACATATTAATGTGGGTATTAAGACCCTGGGATAAGTGCATTTCAGGATCTCCATTTTTACTATTTAATATAACTTATATTCTCCACAGGTTTTGATGCAAACACATTTTTAAGAAACCTCTTATTTTTCAAGCAGTCTGAGCAGAGCACAGCATGTTGATTTTAGTTTGTTTTTCTTTTTTCCCTTTAGCATTTGGGAGGGCAGGGCAAAGGCAGAGTGCCATCCTGCATTTTTGGAAGGTGGCAAAACTCCCGTTGACTTAGTCAGATCTTTGCTTGAGTACTGCTAAGTACCCTCTCCAGCTCAAATGCTCAGATCCTGAGGTTTCCCTCATGAAAGTCAATGATCAAACTTCGAGTGACTTCAGTGCCTGTTGCACTAGACAGCATCAACTGGGGAAAACAAACAAAATAAACCGGAGCTCCCATGAGAATCCTTAAGAGAGTGTCTGGTGCAAAGATAGAGGCAATCAGCAAAAGTGGGAGTAGAATATCTTGACCTAGAATACCTTTTCCAATATCTTAGCAATATTGTTTAGATGACAAGAGCTATTTAAACAAAGTTTTCCTGTGTGGACTAATGGGAACAAGGAGATGACACAAGCAAAAGCCACTCGCCACTCTTAACAGGCCATTTCATTGAAAGCTGCAAAGAGGGACAGGCACAACAGGGACTGCAGGGGATGCAGAGAGAAGTAGGAGAATAATAGATACTGCATTATCCTGGCCTAAAGGGTAAATTTAAAAAACTCCAACCATGTAAAGACTAAAAAAACAAAACAAACCCACACAAAACAAAACTAAACAACCGCAGAAAAACCAAATATACAAACAAACAAAGCCAAAACACAAAGACCCGATAAACCACCCAACCCTACACTGAAGACATATTCTACTTCAAGCAGGGACCCTAGAAATCTGAGGACAGAAAGTACTAGTGTTATCATAAATGTCCTAGCAGAAGTCCTGTTGGGATGCCCTACAAAAACAACACCTTTCCTTATATTTCAATCCATATAGTTCCCAAAGGGCCCTAATGTAAACTTAACTTTCCTTGCTGAGATATGTTGGAGGAGGTTAAAAAACTACTGTTCAGGTCTTAAGGACAAAAGTCCTCGTCTTTGCTGGCATTAATGACCAAAACAGACTTTTACTGGAAATATTCATCTTTTTCCTAAGCATATGCCTTTCTTTATAAA